AGCATCCTTTGAATATTTTCTCCAGGAAGTGAAGGTGTATTGGGAAATGATCAGGCAGATAGACTGGCCAGTTCTGCACTGTTTGGTGGTGAACTGACGTATGACAGGCCGAATGTTGTGAGGGCTCTTTTGGAGCGATTGAACAGTGCGGAGGCACAGATAGATCATTACGGTCTGAGGAGAAAGGTGCAGGGAGGAGTTGCCAGGGGATCTGGCCAACGCTTGACACTCAGGGGAAAGGCGAGACGGATATACAATCAAGCAGTTACAGGGGGGATCGGAATTGGAACTCTTGGCCTGCTGCTGAAGATGGGGACGGAACTCTTATGGGAGTGTTCTGAGTGCTGTGATGAGGATTCTTAATTCAACATTCAGTTGTTCTTTATATGTTTGGTTAGCTGTCAGATGGGTCACAAAACAATTTTCCCCGTTTTGGTGAAGCGCGGGTTGTAAACAATAGTTTAGAAACACTGCCCTGGATATTTGAGGTCTGTGATCTTTAATATCTTGTTGCATGGCATGGAGGTGTGTCGGCCACACGAACTGATACATGCTGCAGGAGATCGTGGATTATGGAGAGGCATGATCGCCTACGCTAGTCAGCAAGGCACCTGATGATGACGATGATCTTTAATGCATAAGAAAATTAATGGGAAATCCTCTTCAGGACATAGCAAACAAGCTCTATCATTTGTTGGCTGTTATGTTCTTTTACCTGGATGTTTTTTACATTTCTTTTCATTCAGATGATATGTGTGTTGTGGTTTACAGCTAGGCTGTGATATCTCTACATTTCATCCCAAAACATTGCATTTAAACAAACCTTTAAATAGTCGCCTTTAATGACCTGTTTGTTAAATGGCAGTGGGTGTTCCCAATCCCCTTTTCCTTTGCCAAATAGAGCTTAGAATCCACACAAAGATGACAATTTAATGTTCAGTAGTTTGACTTTGCTTTCTATGATGTTCATGGTGTTGTAAAAATAAATTCAGTGAGGTCAAAAACCAAAACAACTAAGTTGTACTGTTATCTCCAATAGATATTTATTTCTCACAAACAGAATTACATACACACAAAATAAGAAAAAACAATTGTGCCTAGCATTTGAAATTTCACTCCCTCCTCTCTGTATTATCTTTGCCTAACACAGTTTGCTTAAAAATGTTTTTTACAAGGTATGTTCCTAACACAGTTTGCTTACAAATGTTTTTTAAAAGGTATGTGCCTAACACAGTTTGCCCACAAATGTTTTATTCAAAGTATGGTTTAAAAAAAAGTAAAAAAGTAAAGATCACGCCTTTAGGCGCATCGGGCAGGGAAGAGCACCCATATTTTTACAGACCGATCGGCACTAGGTGGGTAATGTGGTCAGCATACGCCAGCCGTAATTTAACAAAACAGAAGGAGCATTTTTCCATGAATATCATTATCATTGTGTTAATCAGCCCAAACACTGGTGATGAAGTCATCTAATTATTTCATTTTACTACTGTCTCCATGGTGATGCAACTGTTTAGCTGTTGCTTTTATGCTCCGATTGTTGTTACATTTTAAGTAGGGCACACTCACGCTCAGGCCTCCAATGCAGCAGCCATCCTAAGGTTTCTCTACTGACTGTTGGTGTATAATGTTTCCTACGTCAACTTCAGAATCGTCATAGACATGCTTCACCTGTCTTTACCCCCAGGTCACATAACTGGCTAAGTTTTAAGAGTCTCGCCATTAACCACCAGCCTAGTCAGATAGTTATACTGGCTGTGTCCATTTATTCCTGAGTGTACTGGTGCATCACTTGCCAGCTTTGGCGGTTTTTGGTTTGGTTTAAGAATCTACTGCTGGTTTGCAAGACCAGGTGTTTCGGAGATCATAGGGTGGGGGAGGGGGGGTGTGCTGGCATCATGTAGTTTCATGTTTTGTATGGGTAATCAACTGCTCTGCACAGAAAGGGAGCTATATGGAATAAAACCCAATAAGATAAAGTGTATCTGCTTGCATGTACTCAGTGCTTCTCTTTGTCTCCCACTCAAGCCTGACAACTGATGCCTTTTATGTGCCTTTTAGCATCCTCTTTAATTTTTCCCTTGGATATTGCTTTTCCCCATGATCACAATCTTGCCAGAAGGCATTCTCATCTCACCCCCAAAGCTGGGTACTTTGTGTCGTGAATCAGTTCTATTAATGATATTCCTTGATGCCTTCTTAGTCTTCCTCTTTTTCTACTTCTTCTCTAGTCCTGTTCTGCATTTTAGCATCAGGTCTTCAGGGGACATTGGGTGGCAGCCTTGGTATGGTCTATGCAAATGTTGGTATTTATGACCTTGGATATTCCATCTATCCATCACTGGTGTGGTCAAACTCCAGCTCTGCTTTCCCTTAAACTGCGACATGGCCTAGCAAGCAGGCAGTGAATTAAAATCTTGCTCGAAGAAACAATAAGTAAGAACTGGGGAAGAGTGTATTAATGAAATAGACGCATAAGATAAAAGAAGCTAAGAAACCACATACAATATATAAAGTAATCAATGAACATGTAGTGAGTTGTCAAGCACTGAAAGGGTTAAATAGCCAGTTTGCTGATCAGCAGATTTCCACACACAAAAACCCTCATGCCATAGGAATCTTTTAAACAAAAAATGACCCCCCTTTTTTGTGTGTGAAAAAAAGTGCCTTTTTATAATTCAATGAAACTCTATCCTACAAAAACTAGAACAAAAGAAGAAGCAGAAGAAATGTTACTGCCTGGTTACTTTTTATAAATATCCAGAGAGTCCGACCCAGAGACCACCAAGGTGACAGACAGGCATGACATTCTTTGCTTCCTTGATGACATAATGTCACTATAAAAAAAAAAACATTCAAACAACCTGTTTCCAGTCACTACATGTCTAAAGTCTGCACTTGTGGCGTAGACATTGCAAACATGGTTTGATCCTAACTGTGGGTGATTTGGCAGCAGACTCTCATGTGTTGATTTTGACAGGGGTATTGAGATTTGACCGTTCAGAAGCAGTGGCAAACTACTGAATGTAAAATTGCCCAAACAGCCAACAAATGTTGGGGTTGATTCTGCAATGCCCTGTAAAAGATATGCAGCTAACTAACTTGGCTAAATTAAGAAAAGTTATATTTCTATGTTAAGGGAAGTAATCACTAAATATAAACAGAGCCAAAAATTCACTGATTTCCTTCCCAGTGACCATTAAAAGTGGTTTTGGTCACTCTGTCACAGACATCAGTATGATGTAATAATGAAACTATATGACGTCAAAGTGATGTCAAATTTTCTAATCTATTTTTTTGCCACCCAAAATTATACTTAATTTTGTATTTTTTGGTAAATCATACTGACCATTTTTACAAACTTTGCAGTTGCAACCAATACCAAAATAAAATTTATGGCATCACACCAACCAAAATCCTGAGAAAATGGCTTTCTCTAGGTTTCTTCTTCTTCTTAAAGTCCATGACGTGTGGCGTTGGTAGTCATGTCTATTCACAACCTTCTGTCTCGTGTACTTTCAATCAACTCTGACACCGATGATCCTACATACCTTAATGTCACACTGTCCAGCATCTTTTCTCTTGGTCTCCCTCTGCCTCTCCTCCCCTTCAACTGTCATGATGCACTCCAGTTTTCTCCTTCTCATCACATGACCAAAGATTGTAGACCTTCTCTTTCTGATGTGGGCAATCAGTTCTCTTTGTGAATCCATTTCTTTCAAGACACTCTCAATACTCTTTTTAAGTCCAGGGTATTCTCTTTATTTCTCGGAGCGATGGGGTTAAAACAAGCTGGTGTTCCGAATGAATAACATAGTAACAATATCATTTCTCATAAACTCCATTTTGGGGTGGGGTGGGGGTTTCCGCTTTTATTTCTTTGACCCAGTGGCTTCCAGTACAATAATTAAAAAAAGTTTTCTCTCAATGTTTTTCATATCTAGTGATATCTTCTTCACCTCACCTCTTGATTCACTGGAATTTGTTTATAGTTTTCCCCCTTAAATGCAATAAAGCCAATCAAGTTTGATTCCATATGGCACCAATTTTTAAATGCAAGCATGTGAATATGAACACTAAAAGAATACTGTTTTACTCAATATTCTTACCAACACTATGCTATCAATGTCAAACATGGACACTGTCTTCAGAAAACAGAAGGAAAATAGTCACGACAGAAATGAAATGTTTACGTACTATGCTAGGTGTAACAAGGAAAGATCGACCTAGGAGCGATGATATCAGAAAAGACATGCACAGCAAATCAAATGGTTTAGCCATGTAACAAGATTGACAAAAGACAAGGCACCACAGAGAGCAATGCTATGCAGATACAATGGTAACAGAATCAGAGGTCGACCACGCAGACGATGGACTGAAGAAATATCAGAGAAGGCCCGTTCCAGAGATCTCTTCCTGCCCTGACACCGCGAGGCATTCCAAGAGTAGAGAAAAGAAGAAGAATGGTTCCTGACATATTTTCTAGGATCATTCATCATCATCATCATGTGCTCTGCCAACTGGCGTAGGTGCTCATGCGTCTCCACAGATCACAGCTCTCTTGATGATATCCCTCCACGCCATCGTTTCAGCCCGACCAGCATCATCTCTCTCGGTCTGCTTCTACCCCTTTTCCCACTAATCTTTCCAGTTGTCACAATGTTCTCCAATGTCTCTCTTCCCATTATGTGGCCAAAAAACAGTGTTTGTCTCTTTCTTATTGTTGTATCTAGAGATCTACTTTCATTAGCTTCTTTCAAGCAATCAGGATCATAATATACCGAATATTAAAAACAAAGAGAACAACAGACATCTTTATCTGACATACTTCAAACATTCCAAAATGGTTGCTAATTCTCAAAGCTGCCTTTTGTTGCCAATATATGTTCTTTATTATTTGCAGATCTTTCACACAAATGTTTCACTGTCAATTACAATACAGAATCACATTAAATATTACTTTCCTCTTGTCTGTAAACACAATGTAAAATGAGTCCACACTAAACAGGTTTGAATATCTGTGTGCTCATTTTAAAGTTCAGTTCATCCAAAATGAAAGAAAATTGCTGAAGTCTTTCTGGTGAGAAATTTGCATACAGATCATCTAGTTCTGGTAAGGGCTTTGGCTCTGGGGAAACAGAAAGAGAAACAACTCACCATAAAGTAACAAATTACTGATTCTACATGATCTTCAAAATTCTTAACTTCTTCCCTGGCTGATGCTCAACACTCAAGGGGAAGGCTGGTTCCACTTGGTGGTGAACATGACAGGCAGGATGTTGTAAGGGTCCTTTGGGAGCGAGTCGACAGTGAGGAGGCCAAAAAAAAAAAACCTTACGACGATGAATATTTGTGCCACCTGGCAAGATTTCTTCTTCTTCTCTGCCCGTTACCTTACTGAAGTGTTGGGGTTAGATTTTCTGTGTGCCTTCTAATGCGCTGATCTTTATTTCTTTGAGGAGGCTGTTCTTGATGCCACCAATCCATATTTTGTGTGGCCTTCTTCTAATTCTGCATTCATTGCATTTTTTCAGCATGGCTCTCTGTGGCAGTAAGTACCAAGGCATTCTTATCAGACGTCCAAACCATCTTATCGATTGGTAGAATCACCGAGGTTGAGCTTTAGGAAAGAACTAAACAAATTCCAGTGGAGCAACAGGTGAAGAAAAGATGCTGGCTTTGGATAAGATACACACTGAAAAAAACCTAAGGAAAATATAACTAGAATGTCCTTGCACTGGAACCCAGAAGGGCACAGAAATAAAGGAAGACCAAAAAACACATGGATGAAGAGCGCTAAAGAGTGAAGTTAAAAAGTGGGGAGGACATGGGGAGAGCTGCATGAGATAGCGAAGGATAGAACAACTTGGCATGAGTAGGTTGAAGGCCTATGCTCCATTTGGAGGATCAGAAAGGCAGAAGAAGATGACGTTTCAGTTCTTATCTTCTCCTATATTTCTTCCTTATAAATTGAATCTCTTCCTGTCACTCTGCCAACTCTTCTAAGATGCCTCACCTCTGTTGGTATGATTTTGTGCTTACAGACAGTAGTAAGGGTCTGCGTTTGACACTGGCAGCATAATGTTAGCCACACACAAAAAGTTTCTACTTAATTTGTCAGGGAAGACAATTATTTAATTAAGCAGCCAACCTTATAAATATTTTATAATGAAACAACTAAAGACAATTCACATAAATAACAAACAATAAAGTCATTAACCCAACTAAAGATCATTCACATAAATAACTCACAAAAAAGTCATTACCCCTGGTATAATAAGAACATTACCAGCGGAGGAAATGAGTCAGCTGTCATATACTAATTTACTTGGGGCAGCACTAGTGCAGTCGATAGGAGACTCGCTTTCAAATTCAGCTGTGACTTGCTGCAGAAAATGGCCGATGTTCCAAACCGGACAGTTCCCGGGGGTCACCCAGCCTCTAGGAAATGGTTACCTGAGTAAACACTCTGGAGTAAATGGAGGAATGTCGCTGTAGCTATGGAGTTCCGTGCTTAAAGCGACACAGGCAAACAGTTTCTTATCAGCTGTCCGCATTGGTGGCGGAGCACGTATGGTTTATAACCGTGTGCAATGACGCTGGTTCACATCTCATCTTTACCTTTTACCTTTATACTAATTTACTAGGGAATTTTTACCTACACTACCCATAATCTTTTAACCCTCAAGAGTTGAGACCTGTGCAAACATAAGATTTTTTTCACTAGTAATTTAAAGACAAAATTCTTTAAACAGAGGTAAAGTAAAAGTAACGAACCCCTTTTCACGACATCAGGCATATTGGGCATATAGGGCTAGACCTATATTTTTAATAGACCAAACGGCACTTGGTAAGTGATGTGGTCAGCATCACAGTGGCCACCTTTACATCCCAAGACTGTACCTGGTACCCACTCAAGGCTGGGTCAACCTGGGAGCCAAGGTCATTTTTGAAAAAAGTCCAACCCCTGTCAAGACCTGAACCCACAACCTTCCGATCCGCAGATGTGCGTCTAACCGCAAGACCACGACGGCTAACGTTTAAATAGTGGTAATTTTTTTTTTAAACCATATTTCACAGGTGTACCTACCTTCCTCTTCCTTCTTCTTTTCCTCTCTCGGCTTGCGAGGAACTCCTGTAGTACCTTTTGGTCTACCACGTTTCTTTTTGCCTTTATGTTCTTTCTCTTCAGGTTTCTTTGAAAAGAAAAAAAAGATTAAGTTGCAGCTAGGTCTGTGATTAGAAAGGCAAATTTAAGGTTGCAATCAAATTACATGTGAGGAATATGTGCAAAAAGTGTTCATGTGGAAGAAGTAAATTCTAGTTATACAATCTGTTGCCATGACTTTCACTTGTGACACAAATCTCAAGGGACAAGGAATTCACACCAACATAGGTGTCATGACAGCAATAACAAAGTTATCCAATGTGTAAGAGAATCTTTCTTCTCAGACAGCCTAGCCATCTCAGCCAATAGCTTGATGCGAGTCTGAAACCTACATCAAATTCTACTAATCGAGGGGGCTGAGTGGTCTCGAGGCATGGTGTCTGCCTCAAGTGCTAGAGGTCCCGGTTTCAATCCCCGGTAAGGGCTTGGATTTTTTCACGTGGACTTGGGACTTCTAGTAATTCCCCCTCGTCTCTGGCTAGTGATGAGATTGGACGTCCGTGTGCACTGTTGCCCATGTAAAAAATCCCTTGGCAGTTGGAAATCGAAAAGAGTAGCATAACGGCGCTGCCCAGACAAAATTTGGAGTTTAAAATCTACCTAGAGTATTTCAGGATCCTCGCCGGTGCTACAGAGCCTGTGCAATGTGCTGAGCATTTTCGGACTCAGACGTGAGTTAGAAGAAGATTGGAACACTTATGGGTTACTACCCATGTACCATGATGCTGATCAGTTGTTCAAACCTCTAAACCATTCTACAAACGGCTTCTGGTGTGTGCTTGCTTCCTAAAAACTGCTCCATATAAACATTGCCACACCCGCTGATCCACCTTTGGTATGTTTTTAATAGTCTCATTTAATTCAGATCCTTTTTTAACATAGTAAAGGTAGACTGTTATTTTTTAAATTGTCATTATTAATGCATACAAGAAAATCATGATTTATTTTACACCGCAGTAAATAACCACTATATGTAAGGTAAACAAATTGGAACGTACTGGTTAGCCTTCGCATGTACAGAAAAAAAAAAAGTAGAGACGATATGAGTGGCAATCAGTATATAACATTTGTTTATTCAGCACATTACACTTCATTATTCAGATTCTCCTTTGATTTATTTCAGTGTATTACTACTATAAACGCAGCTGTTGAAACATCCTGAGCACTGCTCCTTTGATCTGGCTGCTACTGCCGCATGCTTTGTGTCAAATGTTTTGGTGTTTGTCACTTTTCAAAACTTTCCTTTAATCAAGGCAGAAGATGGAAAGTACCCTATGTAATAAATCATTCTCATTAAACAGAAAAAGAGCACTAAAATGTTATACTGAGCCTGCTCTGTTGTATGGTAATCTGTTGAATGGTAATGAGCAAACAAATTAAGAAGAGTTTGGAGGCAACTGAGATGTGGTTCTTGAGAAGAATGTTGTAAATACCTTGGACTGCCAGAATAACTAAAGAAGATTGCCTGGATATGGCTAATGCAAGAGGAACATTATATACTACAATGAGAAGAAGGCAAACAAAGTTCTTTGGTCATGATGAGAAAAGGAGCAGTGGAGAATATCGTGATGACTGGAAAGATCACTTATAAAAGAGGCAGAGGCAGACCAAGAGAAATGATGGTAGATGGCTTAGGACAGTGGCATGGAGGAATATCATCAGAGGAATTGATCCAGAACACCAGAGACCTAGATCTGTAGAGATGCATGAATGCCTATGCCAGCTGGCAAGTCACTTGATGGTGATGATGAATCAAGGCGGGATGAGAGAGGGATCATGCAACACATGGTCTCAATAATACTGCCCAAGCTTTAAGCTCTGGCAAAAAAAACCATAACTGCCCAATGACATAAGGTAGGTTGAATTAAGAATCAACATCATAGCACTCAGGACACTCCCATAAGCGCTCCATCTACATCTTCAGCAGCAAGCAAAGAGTTCCAGTTCTGGTGGCACCAGTAACTGTCTGACTGCATATCCAGATCCCTTTTCCCTTTAGTGTTGAATGTTTGCCTGATCTACAGGTAACTGAAGCGCCACAATATATCCAGATCTATTTGTGCCTCGACACTGTTCACTCCGTCCCAAAGGGTCCTCCTCACAACATCTAGCTTGCCATACATCAATTCACTACCAAGTGGTGCAGAACCGGAAGGTCTATCTGCTTGCTCATTTTCCCAACACACCGGCATGACCTGGACAAAAATATCCAAAGGATGCCAACTACCCGATACTTTTGAAATAATGCTTGCGACTCTGCACGCCTGTCTCCACCTTTCTCAACAGTCAGTTGCAATCACAACATGTGTGTACAGCTGACTGTCAAGTCAGCAGATGCTGTGATTTCCATGTCTCCTGATGGCAGAATATAACAAACATGTCTGTAAAGAAGAAAAGATTCCAACAAAAATGTTTTAGATTTTCATAAATCAATTTTTTTGGGGGGTTGCTATTTCAATATTTTTTCCAGAATGCGGCATTATGATTACATTTTGATGATGCAAATTTCCATTTCTACTTTATTGTTTTTAATTTTAAGGAGTGAAAATTTTGAAAGTACATACCGGTTTCCTCTGACGGAATGTCCTTGACGCATATTCCAGCTCTAGAGAATTGAAATAATCTGGCCTCATGCGCTTTGTTCTAAATCTGCGTCCAACTTTGTCTAAGTTGGTTTCTGATTCAGGCGGGGAACTTGATGCTGAGGTCGAAGCTGCAATAGGTGAAAGATAAATGTAATGGTATGGTTGATACTGCTTCAGGGGTATGAGGCTCAGAATTTGAGGCATTTTGTTCTATGCTGGTATGCTGTCGAAACAAAACAGGCAGATAGACGGGCTGGTTCTGCACCACTTGGTGGTGAATTGGTGCAAAACAAGCTAGATGCTGCAAGTGTCCTTTGGAAGTGAGTGAAAAGTGCAGAGGCACAAACAGATCATCATTGAGGAGAATGGTGCTGCAAGAGTGATCATAGGATCAGGCTGATGCTCCGCACACAAGGTAAAGCGAGACAATCATATAGGGATATACAATTAGACTATTACTGGTGCCATCAGAAATGGAAATCCACGCTTGCTGCTCAAGACAAGTCATGAGGGGTTTATGGGAATTCTCCAAGTACTGTGAGGATTTTTTAATTAAATATTTTCAAGTATGCTCATCAACATCATGTGCCATGCCAATAAGTTCAGGCTTCATGGTTTACCACCTCAAACTACTACAAGTCCCAAAACAGATTAGCATTCTTTCTACAAGGGCAGGCCATTGTATTTGTTGTCTTTGTATGTGGCTTAGTATTGGTTCTATGAAGATTTGTCTCTTAGAAGTTCATCTATTCTAGTCATCTTTTTATGTGGCTTAGTATTGCTTCTATGTAAGATCTGTTGCTTAGAACTTATCTTTTCTAGTCATCTTTTTATGTGGCTTAGTATTGCTTCTATGTAAGATTTGTCTCTCAGAACTTCATCTTTTTATGTGGCTTAGTATTGCTTCTATGTAAGATTTGTCTTTCCGGGGCCCCATTGTAGGGAAAACAAGAATAGACCCACTGCCTCCCCAAAAGCATGTCGTAAGAGTCGACTAATTGGGAAGCTTCCTTTGAAGTCGGAGTGCATCTGCCGGAGAGGCAAGGAACCAACAGTCTGTATTCAAGAGAATGAGATCTGTAAAACTGATGCACACGCAACACTCAGGTTCTGGAGCAGGACTGCAGTTCAGTAGTGGACGAGCAACCAGAACCTTTCGCCAGAGTTTACAGCTGGTGAACGTGAAGAAGAAGAAGAAGAAGAAGCTTCTATGTAAGATTTGTCTCTTAGAACTTCATCATTTCTGGTTAATCATGCTGCCTGTCTCTCATTTCCATAGTTACTAATGTTCCTTTCTGGCTTGTTGTAAGTGACCATGTCTGGCACTGGTAGTATAGAATGTGGATAAATATGCTTAATATGAGATGTTTCTAACAACAGGTAATACCACTTAATACTGTCAGGAAAATCAGCCTGCCTCGGCTGGAGATTGCATCCAAACCATTGCCTTGGCAGGCTTGAGAATTAATCACCATAAAACACAGTTAGTATAGTAGATGAATGGTTGTAGGGAGATTTGACTGTTCATGTCAGGTGATGATTTGTTATAGGAAAACATGTTTGCTAATGTCAGCAATGTTTACGGGGATCCCTGGGGATCATTGCCGGAGCTATGGAGGTCGTACTCTGTGTGACACTCTTGGCAAGCAGCTAGCTGTTCTGAGGAGAGACCAAGCCCTATGGGATGTAACCTGGTGCAATGAAGTAGTACCTCTCCCCTTTACCTTGACTAATCACCATACATGTGTGGCTGTCTGTAACTATGCCTAATCAAAACTACCATTAATATGTTGAATGTTGAATTAGGAATCGACATCACAGCACTCAGGACACTCCCATAAGTGCTTAGTCCCCATCTTCAGCAGCGAGTGAAGAGTTCCAATTCCGATGGTACCAATAACCGTCTGATTGTATATCTGTCTCATCCCTCCCCTGAGTGTTAAGCGTCGGCCAGATTCCCTGGTAACTCCTTGCAGCATCTTTCTCCTTAGACCGTAATGATCTATCTGCACCTCAGCACTGTTTACTCGCTTCTAAAGGGCCCTCAGAATATCTTAATTGTTCACCATTAATATATGATTAACTAGAATAGGGCTTTTCAAATGGCAGCCCATGGACCAAATCTGGCCAGCAAGTGGCAAGTGGCCATAGGTCATTTGCCAGTTGTACTGAATAAAGCTTCCTTCTATGTTGGGATTCTTTCCTCTGGCCCATGACAAACTCTATTTTCACAATTTTGACCCCTGTACTCAAATGAATAGCCCTGAGCCAGAAGATAGTTCCCGGGAAGGCTAACCCAGACAACAAATGCCTGCAGAAGTCTGATGTGTCAGCTGAAAGGTGCAAATATCACAGCCATGTTGTAAAACGGCACAACACATTTATGTCTTCAGATAAAAGCAGAAGAAGAGGAAGAAGAAGATAATGGTTAAACTGCTACTTCTTGGAAGTTCACGCCGTGTGGCGTTGGTAGTAATGTCCATCCACAACCTTCTGTCTCGTGTACTTTCAATCAACTCTGATACAGATGATCCTATACGTCAAAGTGTCCAGCATCTGTTCTCTCTATCTCCCTCTGCCTCTCCTCCCCTCCAGCTGTCCTACTGTCACGATGTATTCCAGTTTTCTCCTTCTTATCACAGAATAAAAAAATGTGGATTGTCTCTTTCTGATGTGGGCAATCAGTTCTCTTCATCAGTTAGTTTCTTTAAAGACATCCTCATTACCCTTTTTATCTGTCCAGGGTATTCTTATCATTCATCTATAAAACCACATTTCTGCAGCTTCCAATTAATTTTTTTTCACTATTCTACTAAATGTCCATGATTCACTTCCATATATCAAGGCAGGATTTAAATAGTTTTCGGAATTCACTTTCTCACCTCAACTGACAAAGAAAGACTGCATAAAATATTCATTTTGCATAGTTAAAAAGTATATAACAAAAACAAAATTTAGCACAGAAGGTAATATAGCACCACAAAAAATAATAAAATCCAAGATTACTTTAAATATGCCCAAAGATAAATTACACAATGGGATTATCACTATTTTAATAAACACTTGAAATATATATTAAACTAAAAAAGATGATCTATGCAAAATTAAATTACCAAAAGTAACTGATAAACATGAATACTGAAAATGAAACAACACAATATATCCAGATAGCAGTGTCGTCCCCATGTGGGTTGCAATTTTGTATTTGAAGCCTCACCCTGGATTTTGCCGGGGGCCCTGAATATAGCCGGCCCATATAAATATATGGCCTCAAGGCTGAAAAGGGTTTCTGGGACCTCTCCACAGGTGATCCTCATCTGCATGGTGGCACTTTGTGTCACTGGGTGTGTGTCGCTTGTGTGATGTCCTGGTGGGGTACAACTACCTACTACCTATATCCAGATCATAACTAAGAAGGGCTGAACAGGATATCGTGCAACAAACACTTTAACTAGAACAATCAGGCAGGTAATAAAACTGAATACCAATATAACATACATGTTTTTAAACCTTTCGATGTGGTGGCACTTGATGCTGCTGCATTTTTTGCTGCGGCACTAGCTGTTCGTGTTCTGTTTGGCCGAGTCTTTGTGAATGAGTAGCCACAGTTGCATGCTCTCAGAGCGACTGGACACTGAACATGTAATCAACAATAGATCATTATTAACTTATTTAAATTTTAAACTGTGTCGCTCTACACCATTTATCTACTGTACCACCTGGCATAAACAATGATAATCATGTCTTCCTACAACAATTTTTTTTTTAACCATACCAGCTAGGATTAACAATTATGTTTTCCCACAACATTTAAATTAGCCACTCCAGCTGGCATTGACAGTCTTGTTTTCCTATAACAAATCATCATCGGACATGAACAATCAAATCTCTTTACATCAATTCATCTACTATAACTGATATATACAATCAAATAGTGCTAGAATCATTCAATTACTATACCATTTGACATGAACAATCAAATCTCTCTACAGCCATTCATCTACTATAATAATTGATATGAACAATCAAATCTTGCTAGAATCATTCAATTACTATACCATCTGACATGAATGAACAATCAAATCCCTCTACAGCCATTCATCTACTCTACTAACTGATATGAACAATCAAGTCTTACAGCAACCATTCAGCTACTATTTTAATTTATACAAACAATCAAGTCTTACGCAAACATTTATCTAATAAAATTAATTTTATGAACAATCAAGTCTTACTGCAACCATTCATCAAATTGTTTAATTTATATGAACAATCAAGTCTAACTGCAACCACTTATCTACTATATTAGTGTATATAAACAATCAAGTCTTACTGCAACTATTTATCTACTATATTAATTTATATGAACTATCAAATCTAACTGCAACTATTCATCTACTATATTCATTTACATGAACAATCAAGTCTTACTGCAACCATCCCTGTTCCATATTAAGTGATATGAACAAAAAAGTCTTGCAATCATGTCTTCATACAACCTGTCATTTAATATATTATTTGGCATGAACAATCAAGTCTTACTGCAACCATTCATCTACCGTTTTATTTACAGAAACAATCTAGTCTTACTGCAATCATTCATCTATTGTAATAATTTACACGAATATTATCATGTCTTACTGCAACGATTCCCCTACTGTATTAATTTACATGAACAATCAAGTCTTACTGCAACTATTCATCTACAGTATTAATTTATATGAATAATCAAGTCTTACTGCAACCATTCACCTACTTAAACACTCAGTAGAGAAATAATGTTCTGAGAAAAGAAGTGAACAAAAGACATGACATTTTAGACAACAGAAAGATGTGACAAGTACATGCACCGTGAATATGAGCATGAATGATACAGATATTGAGGTGGATTCATGAGTTCAGGATGACTCGGACTGTATTGCATGGAGGAGGAAAATCAAGAAGAGAAAGGGATAAAGAAGAGAATTCTTGCAGATTGGTTAACTGAGCATCTTACATGAAGCGTATTAAATACATGCTATGGCAAAAGTCCTTAAACCCCATGTTCTCAATGTGGATGACTTTTTTCCCCCCAATGCAAGCTTTATTGCCATGGGTTGTGATCTGCATGCCTCCCTATAGCTCAATACAAGACTACTGTTTGCAAGGTTGGAGAGGTGCCAGCAATGATGAATGTCAGCCCTTAAACTCACTTCTCTACACATTTCATTTTTCAAGCTGTGTTTCTGCTCAAAGAGCTGCACTGACATTGTCTAAAGCAGTGTTTTCCAAACTTTTCTTAGTCGCGGCGCCTTTTTTCAGTTAAAATGTTTCCATAACCTAAGTAAAAGTATGACAATCCATAAGTAAGAGATTAAAAAAAAATAAAACCTGTGTATCTTCAAATATTTCACGGCGCCCCTGTGAAGAGGTCGAGGCTCCTCAGGGCGCAGTTTGGGAATCACTTGTCTAAGGTTTTGTTCATTAATTCTGTCAAAAGCACCTATTGCTTATTTTTTTTTTTAAAGCAAACTCTATTTTACTTTGTGGGAATGAATCCAACAATACCAGCAGCGGGAGCAGGCAATATGAAAGTGGATATATCAAGAAGCAGGAGACCAAGAAAAATATGAACTGAAGGACAGCCTAAGACCACATTATCACAGCATACCAGGCAATCGAGCTTGCCCTAGCTGGGCTACTTATGGTCTATTAAACTGCAATGCCTAGTGGCAGTGGTGCAAAACAAATGTTGACAAAAGAAGAAGGAAGAAGGTGACTGAAAACTTATAGTTTTACCCATATAAAGTATAAAGGTTAATATACTACTTATTTATATACAATATAATCACTAATATAAAATAAACAATATCCGGCAAAAGAAACAATCCAAACATAAAAACATAAGTATTTTGTAAATTTCAAGGTCATTAGTCAGATGCTTAAAAACAACGTTTAAAATCAATTTTAAAATCAGTTTTAAAAGTTAAATGGTAACTTTCACTGCAAGCTAGTGATAATAATTGTAAATAAATAAGTGTTAGCATATGCTACTATAAGTATCATAACCACAACACAAAACTGTCAAAGAAATTGAAAATTACAAAAATAAAATCAATATCATTATAATTATTTGTCATTGAAAATGAAGTGGATTTTTGAAGTTATTAAATAAATATTAACAAAATATTATTTTAAAAAGTTCACCTGCTGGTCACAGTCCGGACATTTCTTAGTCACAGTACGTGATTCCGAGCGTTCTAATCGCTTCATTATTTTCAACGGGCTGAGCACTTGAATTGAAGGAAGATGATATTAAATAGGATTTTATTGACGGTTGACAACAATAGGTGACGCCATGTTGCGGCTTTACTTCTGACAATAGACGGCCCCCAACGTAAGTAGAGGGAACCTGCGGCCTACTTTTGAATATCCCCCAGATGTAGGTCAAAGACGTCACTAGTTGGAGGTTCCCCCCTTGCCTATGTCTAAAAATATATTTTTTAAAAAAAGCCGGCTTTTATGTGTTGTATATAACATGCCATTTCATGAAATTTTATTCCAGTGCAAATTTTTTTTTCAATACATGATACGGTATTTCTGAAAATTGGCGGACACCTTGTAAATAGAGGAACTTGAGGTTAAAATCCAATGCTAAGACAACAGCTTGGATGGGGTTGCTCACGGCCGGCTAGAGATAGGAAGAGACCAGAGATTATGCCAGATGTACAATAATATAGAGCACAAAGAAATGCGAACTCCAAATAAAACCAGTAGCTGACTGTATGAATCTGTGTTAATAACCTATGATGATAGAAAACACGTTGCATACAGATAACCCCAGAGACCTGTGTGGCAATGTTAAATATTTTGTTACTAGAACTAAAATCCATGTATAGAAGGGTATAGAAGGCTCATACCATCGTTTAAGAAATTTAACATAAAGATACAATCAGCGTGAAAAATCAACTCTTATACTAATGGCAGGAAGAAAAATCTACACTTTTAAAGACACAACGTTAGAAAGATTATCTAAATATTTATAGTGCAATTTATATAAAAATCCCAACCAATGAAGGAATAGCAATATTTAAAAAAAATACAAATTACATGTTTGTCCAAAATAAATAATTACACAATATATAAAATACCAAAGATATACTCTGGAAATCATATGAGCGCTTTATATCCCAATTATAACCCTAGGTTTAAACAGCATATTTTGTGAAAGTTAATAATACTACTACATTTGAATATTTACATGAACTAGGGGATTAGTTTAGTGACCTCACTGGCTGGAGTTGATTTTTCAAACTGTGTCTAAAAATAAGCTGGGGAAGTCTGCTATTATAATTTCTTGCATTTCAGGAAAAGTATTCAATAATTTTTTATTTTATTGTTTTTTGAAAATTAAATACGTTCAATATATTATGGTTTAAAATTATTACCGTAGGTTATTTGAAAAATCAACTGTCGAATATCTGTGTGTGTGTGGTACGTGTGTGTGTGTGCGTGTGTGTGTACGTGTGTGTGTGTGTGTGTGTGTGTGTGTGTGTGTGTGTCTATATGACCCAGTGAGTAGGAATTCGCTTCATTTTCCCAACGCTAAGCGATATGTTGGTACATACACACGTAGGCTTTTTAATAAATAATTTGCCGGTACTCGCCACAAAGTGTCTAACAGTAGATTAGACAAATGGTGCGCGAAAAGGTGTCGGTACCACACAGCGCTAGAAAAAAAATGCATACACAGTCCTACAATTGAACAACAGACTAGTGGTATTATGGCCAAGACAAGTAAAAACGCCACCCATGTAATCCACTCAGGCACTTGTTAGTTAGTTAGCTAAGTTAGTTAAGTCAAGAACTGACATCACAGCACTCATAGCATTCACATGCGTGCTCCGTCCTCATCTTCAGCAACCAGCGCAGAGTTCCAATACTGATGGTACCGGTCACAATCTGGTTATAAGTCCGTCTCGCCTTTCCTCTGAGTGTAGCGAGTCCGCCAAACCCTCTGGTTACACTCAGGTGCCTCATTCTCTCAAGGTCATAATAATCTTGTTTCTCTACTGATTCCGTTACTTGTTCCCAAAGGGTCTTGACAACATCTGCCCGGTCATGCATCAGTTCACCACCCAGTGGTGCAGAACCACACAATCTGTCTGCCTGTTTATTACCCACCATGCCGGCATGACCAGGAGAAAAGATCCATATTATGCTCACTACCAGGAATCTTTCCAGTGAAGCTTGCCACTCTGCTTAAAGCATCCCTGTCTTCACTTTTCTCGGCATACTTTCAGCGTGTTTTAACCCTACCAACATTATTAATGATAAAAACGGAACACCGTTATTTAACGCTATCAGAAAGAAGGAAAGATGGAAGGAATACTTCTACGAACTACTCAATCCAACAAATACACAAACTAAAGAATACTACTCCACCTATAAGGAAGAACAAGAAGAAACTTGCATTCTAATTCAAAAAGTTGAGAGAGTTATCAAGATGAGCCCAAATAATAAATCAGCAGGTATAGACGGTATAACGAACGAGGCAATTAAAGCTTGCGGAAAAACCGGAGCAAAATGGCTACATAGAATATTCACGGTAGCATGGAACGAAAGGAAAACACTGGAGGAATGGCAAAAAGCTATTATAGTCCCAATCTGGAAAAACAAGGGCAATAAATGAGAGTGTGACACATACAGAGGAATTTCTTTATTGAGCCACGTAGGGAAGCTATATTCAAAAGTACTTGAGACAAGAACAAAACGTATTGTAGAGATACAGCTGAGTAAAGCTCAGTTTGGATTTAGGAAAGGAAAAAGTTGCACAGACGCCCTTTTCACCCTAAGACAACTTAGTGAAAAGGCAATAGAATATAACAAACAACTCAATATAGCATTCATTGACCAAGAAAAAGCCTTTGACAGGGTAGACAGGAACAAACTATGGAATATATTGAACGACTATGGAGTACAAAGTCAGCTACTAGACAACATCAGATCTCTGTACCAAACAAGCTCAAGCGTAGTCAGAACAAATGTTGGTGTGACAGACGAATTCATACTAAGAACAGGAGTAAGACATGGCTGTGTACTATCACCACTACTATTCAATATACACATGGACAGAATAACAACAGCAGCAAACCATGTAATGATAAGCGAACTGTTAACTACACCAAGCAGTGAGACAGAGTTAGTTGAAAGAGATCATTATAATGAAAACATACACGCCGATCCTGATGAAGCATATCCCCAACTGAACGAAATACTTTTCGCAGACGACCAAAGCATAATACATGAAAACGAAAAAGAACTTCAAATCCACGTAAATGCGCTACACACAGTCTGCAACGAATATAACATGAAGATCAGCATCACCAAAACAGAAATTCTGAAAATAAATAGAACACCTAATATACTAACTATTCAAGTTAACAACGAACAACTCAAACAAGTGCAGCAATTTAAATACTTGGGGAGCATCTTCACTATTAATGGAAGAATTGATAGGGAACTTGAGGCAAGATGTCAAAAGGCGAACGCAGTAACTTACCAACTTTCCCCACTGCTAAAACACCCAAGCATCACTATGGCACTAAAACGACAACTGATAAATTGCATGTATATACCAACCCTCTGCTACCAATGCCAAACCTGGTCCCTAACAAGAGCACAGGAGAAAAAGATCACGACGTGCGAAAAGAGATGCTTACGTAAGGCTGCCAATGTCACAAGGAGAGACAGAGTTCGAAACGAGAACATTAGATCAATTGTAGGAACCACACCATGCCTGAAATACATAAAGAAGCAACAAATAGAGTGGTTTGGCCACTTGATGCGAATGCAAACATCACTACTACCCTAGAGCAAGAGGCAGACCGAGAGTACGATGGATAGACAATATATCAGAGATCCTGAGGCAACACGGACTAACAACAACACGTGCAACACACCTGGTCCAGGATAGAAAACTGCGACTCCCCACTACGCTGTGAGGCAATTGTGGACAAGACAAGACTTTCAGCGTCTGTTACAATTTCGACATGTGTATGCATTTTGTTCTCTCGCCACCGGAGAGCTCCAGTTACCGCCTCCATCTCAATTCTGATGCTAGACGTGATAGTATTGTATGCTAGGCTGTTCTGCACTGAAGATTTTCCACTGGCTTTCGCCACGAACCCCCAGGCACTTCTCTTTTCTCTCACCACTGAACCATCTGTATAGATAATCAGATCACCTGGGCGAGAATTGTCGTGAATCAACTGTTGGACTTCCACCTCCGTAGCACCCACTTGCCACTCTCTGCACATCCATCCCATTGTGATCATAATCCTACACAGATCACTTGTCACCACTTCCTCTATATGATGCTTGAAAGACAAACTTCTGTCAATGGTGATTCCCGGGTATCGCAGTCAGCTGTATCTAAGTCAGGCACTATTCACCAATAACCTTGCCGATTTAAAACGCTGTCTGGTCAGCAGACAACAAATAATCCGTCATTTTGTTCGCACTGTGAGAGTTTCGTTGATACGTATGAGAATGGAGCAACAAGCGAACGTTAAAATGTGTTTGAAACTGAAAATTGCGCTGCAACTTGCCACCCGAAAATGCTGAGCATGTGCTGCAACACTGTCAACTGTATGCTGACAACAGAAACGCAATCTAGCCTGTTCCAGTCACAGTGAAGACAAAACTGTATGGTACACAAGAAGATATGATCTGCACGATAGCTTTCATAGAGGCTACAGGCCACCTGATTAAGTTTTCGGACAGAAGGATCGAAGAAGAAGAGGTTCTGAGTCAGCGGAATTGATGAGACACATTTATAAAGATCAATGTGTAGTGCCGGAACGTCAATAAAAATGTCGGTCTAAAGCTGTGTTATATGTCCGAGGCGCCTAAGGCATACAAAGAGTCTTTTACTGTTTACTACTAGGATTTAGCAAGATACTCTTGTGATAAATACTTTATTAGAAAGCGGTCATTCGGGGAAAGTCCTGGGTGTTCGTCCAGTTCTGAACTTGGGTTTTGTTCCGTGAATTGAGTTTTGCATATACATCTGACTTATTTGGTTGCAGACTGTTGTTTCCTCGCCTCTTCGGCAGATGCCCTGCAACTTCGAAGGAAACGTCGATCCTATCTATGTTGTCCAGACCCCCCCCCCCACCCCCATGTTTCTAGAATGACCGCAGAAATATGTAGGTATGTTTTGACCAGTATGAACATCGGTCTTGGTGCCCCATCACATATGGTTCATCCCC